TATATTACGCTGAGCTCCTGTTAGGAGAGAGATTTAAAAGAAAAGAAGGGGGAGAGAGAAATGGATTATTTAATAAAATGTCGGGTTTGGAGTTGAGTACAGAAATGGTGTGAAATGCTTTCTTTTAATGACCCCCTTCCACACCTCTCGCTTTAAGGGAGAGAGTGCAGTATAGTAAAAAAAAAAATAGAGAGAAATGTGATATTTTAAAACTATTTTCGTGGTATTTTTTCTCCTTAATCTCGATTAATACAATAGATCTTAATGAAATCTTTGAAGTCCAAAAATGAGCTGCTCTATTTCACCAAGTGCATAGGGAATCTCTGGTAAGTTTTCATTAGCCAGCAGATGGTTGCACTTGTCTAGGATGTCATCCCCTCCCGAAATATGTGACTTATTCGGTATACCGACTAACTCATCTGGGTTGGTGAAATTAGAAGTTTTTTCATTGAACAAAAAGAGTGTAATACGTTGCGCTATTTCCAGAACATATTTCTTGGCTCGATGCTCTAACGTCAAAAAAGTTTCAATGACATTTCCATCACACGTTTGTCGTGCCTTTGATTGATCCTTACCACAATTTTCACCAATGAAAAACGAAATATTGCGATTGTGTGACCTTTCTTGCCCCGTGCGCATAACTTCACTAAAGCCTTTCGGTGAAAAGCCACCGAGGGCGGGCAAGTAATGGTGCAGGGCAACTTCTAGCGACTTTATGAATACATAAGCGGTGGGTGTCATGGACATAATGATCCCGAAAGCACCATGCGCTGTCCCGTAAACAATTTGTTCTCCGGAAGCGCTAGAAAAGAGACTTTTTATCCCGGGGACAGAATTTTCCTGGAAAGTCGGAAGTGTCAAACTACCGATGCGCATGCAGGTAACGAGGTCGCCTAAATGACATTGTGCTTTTGAAGTGATATAGCGTTTGTCCAGATTGTCTTGCTGAAGGTAGTAAAAATTCATGTGATCATCGCACATGCACAGGCCGTCAGTCTTGTCAATTGCGCCATCCATAACTCCACGTAGTTGTTTATCTTTCCCAAAGATTTCAATGATTCCCTGAAGGGGATCAATCGATAGCATAAATACACTGAAACGCACATCAAGTGCCATGATCGCATGCAGAAATTTAGGCCTGTGGTTAAATAACGGTATAAGCTTAATAATGATCATTCCCACAACTTTCTTTTCCTCGGACACAAACGTTTCCTCGCTACTATCCCATTGGTAGATGCACACACATCCACTTATTCCGAGAGCGATACGCCCGTTGTAGTGTGGAACTACACAACAACACTGCAGCTGCCCGACAATGTCTTTATCGGCGACGTGTCGAAGTGAACCCCCCTCATTCAGTTTGTACCATGTGATGCGGCTTGCACGAGCGGTTTGATCGTCCGGGAAGGTAAAAGTAGAACCAACCAGGACAACAAACTGATCGGGATTCATTTGGTAGATAGATTCATTGTTGACGTTCATCCCGTTAGAATATCCAAGTGATAGTGGTTCGATAAAAACGCAGCGTTCGTTTTCGAGTAGCAGGATACCTTGCTGCACAAAAGACTTGGAGTCGACCGTTGTTGTGTATTCCACAGCCTTTAAAGGAATGAAAGTAATCCGATCCATAAAAGCACCCCGAAGCGACGCCACAAATCCATTCCAGGGTAAAATCCAAGCTAAATGGGTCACTGTAGAGTGCAGCTCTAGGAATCTAAAATTCACTTTTTGAGTGTGCTCCAAGTATCCGAGGGCCACGCTTAATCCATTTTCCTTTACAACCAGCACTGTGTCCTCCTTGGCTTCCCCAAGTATACAAATGTCAGACAATCCGTGGATAGGGAGGTTAGTTAAGTTTAAATCTTTACCCGACATACGAATGAGGATTGGCCACTCGCCAAGACAAACAAAGCAGTTGTAGGCCTTTAAAGGCACGCATTCAACTGGTTGTTGCATAAGAAAAAACTCGCGTGAGATGCAACTAATTTTAAGTAGTTCCAAGGTTGTTTCGACGGCATAGCCGCTCACAAGACCAATAAATAGGTTCACGTCGTTCCCTACATTCCATGTCAAGCAAATGCTCCGTGGCACGGACGATAAAGTAACTTCAGAGAAAACTACATGTTGAACTATGTTATAAAGGAAAACGTGACTCGACCAATCACCATAAACTACAAACTCCATTGATAGCAAAAGTAGTGAAGACAAGCATGCATCCGTGCACCACATCCAGAGCTCCTTCAGATCACTGACCTCGACTAACCGGAATCCGTCGGAGATCACCAAGCAGTCTTCAACGGTCGATGCAAATCGTACCGGCGAATCCAAAGACCACCGATGTTGCGCAAGAAGACAGAACTGTTGTTGCCTCTCAACAAGCGAACAAACACCGCATGCGTAAACCATAAGATATTCCTGATTTGATGGGTTATAGCTCAAGTGAATAACCGGAAAACCCCGGAAGGGATTATCCAAGTCAATTGGATTGAGTTGCATCTTACTAAGATCTATCGATGAGTAGAAGACGCTTTCACAGCTTGTCGATAGAACAACAAGATGACGCGCAGAAAAAACCTTCGACACTTTCAACTCCAGCGGCGGACTAACAACTTTTTCAATTATGCTAGCGGAGGAGCGAACGAGGCTGATCCCCCCGTATGGGCCCACGCCGGTACTAGCGACTACCGTCGGGTATGCCACTTGGTCAATGACCGCCATGTCCATAACCGGCCCGCAGTTCCTCACCACCACTTCGAAAGAGGACGGGGCGTGGCAGTCAAAGAGAAGAGAGTTGCCAAGGCGCGAACCTACCACAAGCCACGTCGTGTCGATGTGGACAATCGAGGTAGGGAAGGTAGGTACCTCGAGGCGCCGGACTGGCAGATTTATCACGTTCTTATGAAGTACTTTTTTAATGTCCGTGTGTAAGAAATTCCCGTCCTTAAAAAAAACAAATAGCTCGTCATCGTTGCCCTTGCAGCCACATGAAAACTCAACCCCAGGTGGAAAGGCATGCGAAATCGTATGAGCCTCAGATGTTCCTATATTAACAAGCGTTAGCAACTGTGATCCAATGACCGCTACAACGGTTGAAAAGGATATTATTTTCGTAGCGCTGGGGTCTGCATCGGATACCAAAACACCTCTTCGCAAAATTCTGCCATCACGCGCTGCCGCCGCAATTTGCACATGTTGGAAAGAACCTTCAGTCAGTGGTTCAGATGATTGCCTGAGGGACTTGAGGTGTTTGTTAAAAGTATAAATAGAAACATATGTCCTACCATGTGCGTCGGCATATAATACAAAAAGAACTGGACCACCGTAGTTCCTCATTTCACCAAACACAATATCTCGAACCTCGTGCTCGGCCAAATCAAATGTGCACCTAGAATAAGGACTCTGTGTCGCTCGTTCATGAGCGAGGCGAACAAGACTGGGTGAAAGACAACTTCTCGTGGTATTATTTATATTGCTACCAATTGCTCCAAGAATGTCGACAATGAATATATCCCCACGATTAATGCCAAACGCAACGAGAGGCTCATTCACACCTGTATCGCATGTCGTAGAGCACGCGAGATCCACCTCACCAGGGTAGTATTGATAAAGGCAACTATTCACCACGCTGTGAAACAACGTCACCAGAGAGATCTCTTTCTGTATAGCCGTCAGCGCAACGATAGAAATCTCCTGCTTCACAGAAAGAATGAAGAGGACATGACAATATAAGCAATTGGTCTCGGGATCGACAAGGGGAACCGCTTGCACGTACTTCAGCATGCAATTAAGCTTAAAATCTTGCATTCGATCAAGTCTGGATTTGCCTTCATTGTTTACGTATCTGAAAACCGATAACACCCTCCCAGATGCGAAAATGACGTTTGGTGTAATCGAGTTAAGAAAGAATCCTTTTAAAACATTAAGAACAGCGCTGGATCCTTTACTTTCGGAAATTAGGAATGGCATCCTACTAATCCCTTCCTTATTTGGTGACAAGTGGCTTTAAGACACTACAGACAACAATAGAATTCAAATAATAAGATGAGTTATAAAGAAACTATTTACATCGATGGAAGTCAAGTATGACAGATTAAAACTAGTATTCGTTCATTGAACAACACTTTTTTAAAAATTCGGTATGTTGTCTCTCGATATCTATCTTTTTGAATAAATTTTTTCTCAGGTTAAGCTGTGCTATCTGGTGGTTTGCGATATATAAGCTAATATAAAGATAATTAAGGTTCTATGATATTCTATACCATTGATGTTTAAGGTGAATATATATATATATGTATTTATAAATATATGGATATGTGGTGGTGGAAAGTAGGGGCATTGCAGCTGGGGCTAAGGAAGGGATGCATTTTTAGTGGTCTAATCCCTTACCTAAAACGATCAGCGATGTCATTCGGGCAATGTACACGTTTGAGTAAAAGAGAGATTAGTTGAAGAAGATCCACAGGAATGGTGAATTGCAGCTTGTTAGAAGTCGATCCGGCGGCAAAAAAAGTGCGACCACTATTCATCATTTTGGTGTCGTTTCTTATATCTCTAAAAGATTGATAAAAACGAATATTCTCAGTTTCAAATCCCAAAACCATATGGAATCCAGAGTAAATAAGTAAATCCAGACACCACGGCAAACCACGAGCCACGATTGGGGTCTCAACACATGGTATAAGGCTCACAGGGTATACACTACCACTTTGAATCGAAAGTTGAAACGATAAGTTTGAAAATCTGCAAACAGTGAAATGGACATCCGTATTTTCATACTTCGCCGCTAAGTTGGACATCCATTCCATGACGACTTCCCTCACAAAAAAGTTTGATGCATCGTCGTCGTTTTTGTATGGGTCATTTGAAAACAACGCAGAGCTGGTAACTAGGCGTTTTTTTAGTGTAGAGCAAAGAAGTGGCACCGCTGGATCGGAGGAGGACTTGTTAAGATATGGAAAAAGAAATTTGGAGATGCCAAGCTTCTTATGGGCTGCTGCTTGATATGGATCGATGCCGTCCACGCCCACACCGGTGAGCTCGGCATTCAGTGTCATGGTGGCGTTTCGATAGATGCAGAGAGACTCATTACAGGTGCGATATTCATTATGCGGCTCACCTCGCCGACGGCGGCGAGCGCGATAGAAGACTGTGTCGGTATCATGAATGTAAATCATTTTGGTTCTATCATTAAATAACAACGAAGATGCCTCTTTCCCTCTGCATTCCACGAGGAATCCATGGCCATACTTGCAAGCGTAGAGTGCACTTCGAAAGAACACATCAGGGGGAGGCGGTTTTCTCGAGCGTTGCCCAATTCCATGCCCATCTAGCGGTGTGGGAGTCTCGTTTTCAGTTTGATGATCATTGGTGTTAAGAAACTCAGATAATACCTTGCGCACCTCGTAATCGGCCGCGCAATCCTGCCTCGTCTCGCATTCTTTCACCACTTCTCGTTGGGTGTAATCTTTGGTGGAGCTTGGCGTAGGAGCATAGGGTGAGCACATCACAATCGGAGACGTTTTGGTGGATAAAAAGTTCGTGTCAGTAAACAGTGGCGGTGATGGAATTAGCGAAGATGGTGAAGCACCGATGTATTCCAAACCACGAAGAAACTCACTTTGGCGAATTTGTATGGGTGTGGGCCTCTTATAGGGGTCCTTTTGGAGCATCCAACGGATAAGATCGATACAGCTCTCAGGTACCGAAGTGGGAGAGGGAAATCTATAATCTACCTTCAATATTCTCTCATACGTAGAGCTGATGTCTTTTCCTTCGAAAGGGGGATAGCCGAATGCCAGAATAAACATACTCACTCCAAGACCCCAAATGTCCACCTCAAACCCATATCCCTTATTGGTTTTACTGGAACTGAGAACCTCGGGGGCGATGTAGTTGGGTGTACCACACATGCGAATTTTGCGCTCTTTGGGGTAGTTGAGTCTGCTAGCAAAGCCAAAGTCGCCAATTTTTAAATTCCCCTTGAAGTCCATCATTGTGTTGCCTAGCTTTATATCCCTGTGAATGATGCTTGAAAGGTGCATGTATTCCACTGCACTTGTAAGCTGGTGAAAGATGTGCTGTAGTTCGCGCGGGGAGAATGTACCCTTCTCGTTTGCAATTTTTAGCAAATCCTTATGGTAACACTGCTCTAGTAGTATGTAGTAATAAAAATCATCACTAAATGCACGGTAAAGCTTCACAATGTTCGGATGGTTCATATTTTTATGAGTTGCGATTTCCATATTAACCTTAGCCTCACCCTTCCGGCCAAGTTTCGCGCGATCCACCACCTTGCAGGCGTAGGATTGTAAGGTTTGGATGTTTATGAAAACAAACACCTTCGCAAAGGCGCCTTTCCCAAGCTCCGCGGCACATTTATACGTCGCGATAACCCTTCCCGAAGTCATATCCCGCTCCTCGATGAGGGCCCCGCATTGGTTGCCGAAATACCGCTGTGGTGGGCGCAACGGGGTGAAGCCGTGGGTGGGGGAGGTGTGGGGGGCCGCCGAAACGGACGCGCCGCGAGGCGGGGCGACCACCTTAAACTGCGCATCCTCAATAGGGGAAAGCGAGCAGGAGATGCTGGTATTGGGGTCCGGTGAGGTCAGCAGGCCTTCCTGATTGGCGTCCTCGTCGAAAATATTGGGGCGGGCCAGCCGCTCGCTGAGGTGGGCCGGCGGCCGGAAGCGCGCGGGGGAGTACTCCAGCCCGTTCGGCGTCGGGGCGTGGTCGAACCACCCCGTTGTGGGGGACCGTTGGGGCGGCACCCCGCCGCTGGGGGTGCTCGGCGGGCGCTGAAGCGTGTGCGAGCGAGACGGGCCGTTGGACATGGGCGAGGTGTGCGACTCGGAGGCCGAGACCATCGGCGACGCGGACTTTCGCAGCGCCGGCCTCGAGGGCCCGTGGGGGGCGGGAAGACCGTAGGAATCGCCGTGTGGGTGCATCGCTTGTGACAAGAAGAGAAGGGGGGAAGAGAGGGGGAAGGGTATACAAAAAAAGAGGGAGAAAACAAAGATGGGAGATCAAGAACCGATCGGGTTTGGATTTAAATAAATAAATAAATATATATATATGTATATACATATATATATATAATAGACAAGTACCTCTATTACCCATGGTTTCCCATCCAATTCCTTTCCTTGTTTAGTAAAAAAAGAAAACATTAACGGAAGGAAGATAGAAATTCGGGAAGATCTATACAGAACATCGAAAAGCCACTTTATTGATCCCTCTAAGGAAGAAGAGGAAAAATAGCAAATAAACAAAGAGAAGGTTTTTTTTTGAGAGGGGGAAGGGGGGGAGGGGGAGGGATTTCCTGCCCTAAAACTACAGAAAAGAATGTTGGAAAATTAAATCATTCAAACAGTGAATATATGCATTTCAAGACAAGAATAATTAGAAAAATCTAGAAATGAAACTGTTTCAGAGGAATACGATTAAAAATTTTCTAAATATTGTGAATGATCCTCTTGTAAGGATCACCGCAAAGCTTGTAAATGTAATCAATTACAGCGGTTATACGGATGCAATAATTCGATGAATGGGAGTTATCACATGAATAATGTATAACTGCATCAGAATCTTCGATGGAATCCACGTACGACCACAACCCCCGCACTGCTGACATTTGGGTGCCATTGAGGATAGATGAAAGTTTATATCCTACACCAGGAGGATTAAAGACAAAAAAAGGGATGCCGTATTCGTCTGAGAGCAGTTTTACGTAGCCCCCGTTGAATTGCTCACCCACCAAGAGAACGTTATTTTTAAGCCCCTTCTGAATGAAAATTTCGATAGCCTTTTTCACGTTATCAAGGTCTTTTGAGTGCGATAACCAATCTTTGAATAATTTTGTGTTCTGAACAAAGCTTTTTTTATAGCTATCTGGCCAAAGGCTTATTAACGGAGTAACAGCACCCGCAACTCTCAGGATAATCGACTCCCCCCAATCATTGATGTCCCGAAAAATAGACAGACCTCTACTATTGGAGTTGAGCGTGATAACATAAAACCCCGATGATTTGTCTTCATAAACGGAATAGCGAATAGCCGTACCATCCGTTTCATAGTTAAGTGTAGGAGGGAACTTCTGAGGATGTATGCGCGTAAAGTCTTTCTGATGTGAGAACCACGTGGCAAAGTCCTGGTCACTGAACGTAGAATAAGTGAAAGATAATGCGCTTAATAACGCTAAATCGTAGACTTTGAGAGGAACAGCGCCGTTCCTATTGTATACTATTTGACATATAGCAGAATTTGGATTAGTCCCCGCTTGTGCTGTACTCGCTAGTAGCGCGATATTCCCATCGGGAATATACCGAACTTCATTTCCAATCCCAATGACAAATGCCACACCAAACAAGACAAAAAACCACCACAGTAGAAGAACTTTTTGATCGCTTCTCAGGGCCACTCGTGCAACGCTAATACTTTCCTCCGCAGCGTGCACATCAGGATGCTTGTGCTGAAAGTTTATATTCTCGCTTAAGCAGCTGATATAATCTAAAATGATGTCAATACAGGAAAAAAAATAGGATTTCATCTTTGCTTCCTGTTTCGTCTCGTCCAGTTGATAATCAAGCGGAATTTCAAGCATTTTGCGCAGCTCCTTATCAGACAGTGCGTATGTCCGTCTACGAATCAGCATGTATTGGGATAGAAACCAAAGCAAACATACGATTGCACCCAAGAATGGATTTGTGGTGCTAAGGCCCCCAACTATGCCAAGGCCAAGGAAACAGAAATTTAGAGATAATGACGTGTAAACATACAAGTAGTTTTTTCGTCGAAATAAAGAGAGCCAAGTGAGGGTATAGATACCGACCAGTGCCAAGGAACCGATCATGCCCCACCGCACCGAAGGATCCCCGGTGTAAGTGCTTAAGGCCTGTACAGCACAAATGGTAAAAAATGGAATGCACCCAACCGTGAAGACGAACGAATCGCACCTCACAGACGCTTTGTCTAAACCGAATTCCTCGAGTACGGTCCGAGCATTATACCAGTGAGCTTTTCTCTTTTTCTCGGGATGATACCCATACGTCTCTTTGTGATGGGGGAATTCGTCCCAATTCGTGTAATTCTGTAAAGCGGACCCTTTGTACACTATGGACCGCCAGTAGAACCACGCATAACACATCAACACTACAAATATGGTAACAATAACCGCAACAGCCGCGTAGCACTGTAGCCAATACAGTACTGTATTATTGTTTCGAGCGGCATCAATCATACTCCATATGAGGGGTACGATAACCGTTGCGGTAAAAATTGTGAGGTACACCAAATATGGCGGACCCTGCTTTGAGATACTCTTGTGAGACATCCCCCAAAATTGGATATCCTCAAAGTTTAGCACCCAAATATTTTTAAACATGTCTAACAACACACAAATGATATTTACTATGGCAAAGGTCAGATAAAAGAAGATCGACAAGTAACAAATCACTTGCATGGTTTCATTGTCTTTGAAGGGTGGGTTGTAAATATGGTAGAGCACAGAAAAGGTATAGTTCCATCCTATTAGAGTAATAAGCACTCCCGCAGAATAAAGAAGAATCGTAAGATAGAGCTTAAACAGAATGGATGTAAAGGTATAGACTATAAGATCAATGAAAAGGCCATATTTGCGCGGTTTCCAGTTTATATACTCCTGATATTTAGACAAATTCTCAGGCGCAACATAGGCAGGGGCACTATCGCATATCTCATTCCCAGGCTCTACCGGTGGGCTGGTATAGCAATAATAATTACCATCCTCATCCTGGTAATAATAAACCTGCTCCGTTGTTGGGTCGAAATGATCGGCAGCCACGACGGCGTTGTTAGATTCTTCTCGGTTAGCCGCGGTGTGGTTAGGAATCGCATGTTCGTGGGTCTGCTCCACCGACGACTCCGGCGCGTACCCTTCCGCGTGCGCGCCGTCGGTTCCCTCAACGACTTCTTTTGAATCCCGCTCATAACCCGATGTCACTTCTTGTTTTCTGTCAAACATCACAACTACAATAACCCCTAAAAGTGAATCTAAAACTATTTATACAAAGTATGGTTTTCCCTTACAGTCATAATATGGATAAAGGAAGATGTGTATGTATGATATACTTGATTTGGTAAAACAGAGACAAAAATCATGACTCAGGTTACTGCAAAGAATTGACATTAAATACCTGGATACTTGTTAACCGGTTTGAAAGTCATCCAATTTGTATCCCTTTATCTGAAATGGTAATTAGAGTGATAACAACTTTGAGGATGACATGGTTAAATCATTTTGCATCGAATCCTGATTTTAGATCCCGGATAAAGCACGCTGCACATTTATATTAAAATAAATATAATTTAAACCCCTTTCAATCGACTGAGAATATTACTTTTGGGTGATATTCTTTTATACGAACAATAAGCACATAAGTCTATATCAACCCCTATCCCATCTCACTACCTCCACAAAAAAAAACAAAAAAAGAGAAGAATTCCATTTCCATATTCCGGAAAATAAAAAACTACATTAGATATGGTACTACTCACAGTATGTATAGCCATCTTATAAAAGATTCATCGCAAACACTTAGAGGAAACAATAGAAAGAACGATGACTTAAATCAAAACAAACAGACAAATCTTAAAAAGGGGATAAAAACCCGCGTTGGGCCGCCGTATACCCTTTACTATACAGCTATGGAATGTTTTAACTGCTTCATGGCGATGCGGTAGCGATTAGACAGCGTCTCGTTTCCGTCCCCTTTAATTTTGTGCCCTTTGTCAAAAAGGTGTTTGGCTTCACTCAAATTTCCCATACGGTACCGAATTTCTGCCGCCTCATAATAAGCAAAAGGAAGAACCATAGATTCCTTCGGAATATGCTTTTCGGCATCAAAAATTTTTTGAAAATATTGAAGCGCGACCTCTGAATTTCCACACCCCTTTTCAATCACACCAACAAAAAGATTATACATATTTGTCGCCTCGGCTCCGGTGATATCTTTGCTTTCGAGTACATTCTTAAGATCGGAAAGTACACGCTCACCCTGTTCTTTGCGCATGTGAACCAGATCGCGGTTAATATAAAGCATGTATACGGCCGAATACGGAAGAAGACGTGGATTTGCTATCACGCGAAGCGCAAACTTGGGGGAGTTCACGTCGCTTTTCGATTTGGGATTGTGCATAGGATTAACCCGCCGCATCCAATCCATGGCCTCGTCGTATTTCCCCACCATAACGTAGCAAGCGGCGACCGAGAGAGCCACCTGTCCGGTATACGTGAAGGATTCTTTCGTTTGCTGGATATGGTCCAGGAGGGCAAGGTACTGCTTTAGCGCCTCGCTCCAATCCTGGTACATAAAGAGCGTATCGGCGTAGACGTACTTAATTAAAAGCGGCGAAACGCCCACACTCATCGAATTTTTTAACGCTAACGAAATAGAACTCATCGCCGTATCGACATCACCCTTCTTTCTATGATAAAAGTTCGCATAGCCATAGAAGTACGTATTATTCGGGCAGCGAACGTTCATTGATTCGAGAATCTTGTTGGCTCGGGACAAAGCCACCCCAACATCGCCCAAACCTGTAGGCAGGAACAAATAAAGCGTACACAAAACCAACCCCGCAAAGGGAGATCGAATTGTATTACTTTCAAACACTTCGGTCAAATACCGCTCACCGACATCCTTATCGGAAACAAACCCAATAAGTGATAGAAGCTTCATAAGATTGCCTGGGACAAGGGCAAGAAATGAATAAAAGGTACCGGTGCCGTACTTTACACACATTTTCAGTTCCTTTGGAATTTTACCCGCCTTGTCCTCCTCGATCTTATGAAGGAGACTATTATAGCAACCCCACGCCTTTCGGAGGTTGATCCCACCCTTAAAATACGAATTCATCATTAGCTGACAGATACCTCTCATTAAGAGAGCCTCTGCGTAGACCACATCGCACTCGAACTTCCAAATATAATCGAATGCCTCGTCATGATGAATTGCATCCTTCTTTTTAACATGATGATACTTTTTGGGCTTTGAGTGGTTATGCGGAGTGTTTATCATTGAGTGCCCCCACTGCCCCGAGGCCGTTCCTTCGTCGTCCGCGTCGTCCTCACTAAATGGGGGCTCGTTATGCTTCATAAAGGATGCCAGATGATCCGCCGCCTTAAAGAGGTCTAGAAGAACCAGGCGGTCATCGTTGGTGGAGGTCATCAGACTTTTTACCAGCATAATATTAGCCCACTCTAGCGCATATCGCGGATGCGTATCTTTCTTCTTGCAAAGTATGTGTTGCGCCTCCTCATATTGATTATTCCACACGCTCCATACCGCCGCTTCGATATCTTTGTGAATCTCAAAATGGCTAAACTCCGTACTGCACAAACTGGCATTGACGGAATTGTTGAGTGAATTAGAGTGGGTGGGCATCTTCCTGGAGTTTCGTTGAGCTACAAAATAATATCCTTTCCTTTCGTCAAAACTCTCCTGGGGAATTAAAAAAAAAAAATGAAAATTGGGGGCGTGGAAAGAAAAAAAATGACGAAGAGAAAACAGAACGGTTAAAGTTTGACAACTCATCAAATAATAATAATAATAATAATCGTAGCAACAGTAATATTAATAACCATGAAAATCTTTAATTTGGGTGTAAACACTCGATATCAGGATTCAAAAACGGATAGCGCATTGATTTCTGATGCTGACGAAAAGGGGAAACAATTCTATTAATTCAATATATATAGATATATAGAGAGAAAGAGAGATGACATTACCCAATACTTAAAATTTGAAAATTATCATTCATTCTATTTTTTTTTCATGGATAAGTTTAAGATGACGCTTTCCTTGACGTCCATATATTCGAACACCTCTATCAAATGTTCCCTCAAAAAAAAAATACTCTTTTTTTTTTGCGAGAACTTTCCCCACACAGCAACCACTAAGTCGAGGAAATGGGTTCTATCCATTTTGTTTGTTTGTTTTAAGAGTGGGTGGGAAAGAAGGGTATAAAGCAAGGAATGTTCATAATCGGGTATTAATATCAAAGAATGTTACCGTTTTGCCGAATTGCTCAAGTACTTTTTCTTCTCGCATATAAGATTGTATATATAGGATCGTTGTTCTTGAATAAACGCGAGTGCCCGTTTTCGTTCTTCCTCCTCAATATGGGTAGTGTTGGCAGTTAGCTCATCCAATTCCTCTATTATCATGTTGAACTCACGGCATAACGCCTCCAACTTACAGACCTGGGACGCGATGACCTCTTCTTTTTCCTTTGTACCAATGTTTAACAGGCTTACCGTGCGCGCCATCTTCTCCTTTTCGCTCAGAAAGAGGTTATAAACCCCAGGGTGTATTTTTTCCTGTGCGGGGATAATTTGCTCGATATCATAGAAATCCTTGGGATCCTCCGAAACGGCGATCGTGTTGGCGAGCCATTTCCTAGTCAATATCTTGTCGACGTCCCGTTTTAGGTGGTTGTTTTGGAGGGTTGTTTCGATCGCCTTGAGTCGCCGTTCCAGTTGGGCCAATCGGTAATCCTGCGCCTTCACGACGCGCTCCTGTGGGATGCGCTGCAGGTTCGTGACCTCGTTTTTCCCTGTTTTGAGCTCAATGACGTTTTGCTTCACCAACAAACAGGAAACGGGGTCCGTCGCCTGTCGTTTGCGCTCCAAATACGACTCCGCCTCCTCCACCTCGGCGCTAAGGCACTCAATTCGCTCCATCTCAACCGCGCATTCGTTATCGAGCACGCGCAGTTGGTTGTAAAGCTCGTCAATCTCGTCGATGACGGATCGGTGATTCGCTACCATCTCCGACAGCTTGTGAATCGCGTTCCCTTTCTTTTCGCGAACCACATTCCCTGCGCGAATTTCCCGCTGAATGAGCTTCTTTCGCGCCTTTAATTCCACTAAAGGCGGTATAACTTGGGGCGGCTGCCGACCCTCGGCGATCCGGCTGAGTTTGAGGGAGGCCGAAAGCTCTTGGATCTTGGCGGAAAGCGCCGTGTGTTTGCTTTGCTGCTTCTCAAAGCTTCGCTGAAGGCCTTTGACCTCAGCGGCGTCGTTGGCGTTCTGCTTGATAATCGCCCGCTCCGCGATCTGGAGCTGCGAAAGCACATGTACCACCTGCTCGACGGGGATGTCCTGGATGGACTTTCGGGCCCCCGCGACGTAGTGCTCGAGAACGGGAAAAGAGTCCAAAAGGGCATCGATCCGCGGCCCCGCATCCGGATCCAGGGCCTCCGATTGAAGTAGCGCCTTCTTTCGCTCAAGCTCCTCCTTCTCCTTCTTGCGTAGGGCGATTGCCGTTTCCAGCTCTTTAACGCGTTCGGACTCCGTCGCTTGCATAAAGGGGATATTGCGTGTGGCACTGTAAGGGCGCACTACGGGCAAACAAACAAAATAAACAATGAAAGCGAAATGACTGAACTAGTGTGATTTAGATGAGGCCCAAGGCATGCTTTGACAAATAATAATTTAAAAAATAAAATAAAAAAAGAGACTGGGAAAGGAAGAACTCAAGAGACCTCACGCAAGGAAAGAATCCGCTAAGAGACAACCACCCAAAGCTATTTTCTAATGCGATACCCCTTTGTCTATAGCTAGAACACAACGTTGTAGATTGATTTCATAATCGAACCCGTTAGAGCCGCTTCGACACGTTAACCAAAATAATCAAACCATCTTTAACAACAACCGTCTCTTTGACATAAATGCGCTCCGAAAGAGCCCCAGGCCGAGCGAAAAGTGTCCCGTTTCGCTCAAAAGTGGCAGTCCCATGGGGATCGTAGCCGTTATGGTTGAAAATCGGTCTTCGATTAGCGCCAGCATCCCAAAGGCAGGCTTCTAGGGAGTGCTGCACAACTCTCCAACGTTCATAATTTCTCCTATGGTGCGAAAAACGTATGTTATCTCGCAAAAAATTAATAACATTATCCTTCCCTTCAATAACACCCATCCAGGAATTGTAAATAATATCTGGGCTCAAATAGTTGAGGGCGAGATCAGGTTTCCCACTTTCAACAAGCTCTGTAAAGCGCGACACAATAAGTTGTGGTTCGTTCATCCTTTTTTTTTCCACCGTAGTAAAAAAAAAATATATAGAGCGGAACAATAATGATTATAAGCGCGCAACGAAATTTGACGTTTATATTTATATTATCGACCGCTGGAGGAAAAAAAAAAAGATAATGGTTTTTGTTAAAAAGCATGCGCCACGATCAGAAAAAAGCTTGAATACAGCATAGTAGTGTATTGAAAGAGGCAACAATGTCTAATCAAATTCACCCAGATCTCAGGTAAGATATTCAAATATGCATAAACGTGAAATATCACAAAGATTGCATTCACTACCAATTTAAGCACACTTTAGCGCACCTTTCAACAACCAAAATGCTCAATAATCTCCACTGCTCCTAAACATCCTTCATCTCACAAATTACACAGTGTGTATCNNC